CCGAATTGGCATTTTATACACTGGAAACGGGCCCCTGTGAATGTAAAGTGATAGAGCAACATGATGATAAAATCGGAAAACTGAACAGCAATACGGTGTAAGAAAAGGTGGCAACCTTTCAGTGCAAATTGTCAGGTTTTCATTGTTTTACAACATATGCTGCAGCAAGCGCGACTTTTGATGAACTTTCACAGTCAATTTGACGAAGTTTATTAAGGCGTTACAAACATTTTGATATTACTTGCAAGCACAATGTATTGGTTAAAGGGTGTATTGCTTTGTGGAAAAAAGGCAATATATTGTTTCCTATTCGCTCCGAGCAAACGAAAGAGGGCAGGGTTTTTTTATACTCAAAATGCAGATTAATGGCGCGTTTGCGGAGCACGCTGAGCGGCTTGGGAAACTTACAACCATCTGTCTTTCTTTTGTCGCTTGGGGGTACACTTCAACTTGGGGCGGATATGAGTACCTATCTACAGATAAGGTATGAACAAAATTTAGAAGCAAGTCACTGTGACTGCAATTTGAAAGTGTTTGCTTCTTCTTTTTACAAAGATGGTTTCCCAGGCGAACTTCGCTTAGTCGCTGGGAACACTCACAACAGAGGCCGACTTGAAATCTTCTTTGATGGGGAATGGGGCACCATTTGTGGCAACTCCTGGGGACTCAATGAATCTCAGGTGGCTTGTTGGCAGATGGGTTTCCCTGGTGCCATCAGGGCAATTCAAAGAAAACCGTACGGAAATGCAACTGGACCGATACATCTTGGCAGTGTTAGATGTACTGGCCTGGAGGAGAGCTTGGATAGCTGTCAGCACGCTGGGATTGGAGTTCATAATTGTTCTCATGGTCAAGACATTGGCATTGATTGTAAATCAGGTAGGCCTACTACTTTTTGATCGATAAGAATTGAACGTTGAAAACTGTCTGTTATAATGATTGTATTAATTGTTAAAATTTAACTTCAGTATAGCCCCGAAAGTACTCTGAAAGTAATTTTGAATCAAATTGTAGCGTAATATTGAACCCATCCACATCGTATATCTTCTTTACTGAAATAAATTGACTGATAATACCAATCCTATAGCTGAGACATTTTAAGTATTGTACGTGTCTTTTCTTTTGGGGGTTAGCGCGTTTAGTGGATGGTTTGAGTTCAAGCGAAGGACGTGTGGAAGTGTACAATGGTAATGCTTGGGGAACAATCTGCCTCGATGACTGGGACCTGCTTGACGCATCAGTCATCTGTCGACAATTCGGTTTCGAGCAAGCAGTTCAAGCAGCGGAATTCACCGTTCCGGTCGATGGACAGGAGATACTCATGACTGATCTTGAGTGTGTGGGTAATGAAACAACAGTGTTTGAATGTCAGCACACTGAACCCGAAGATGTCCGTTGTCGACATCAAAATGTTGCAGGAGTAAAATGTGGTGAGTTGATATGCACATCATGAACACAATACGCCATTTGCACGTATAAGTATCACAAAACCTGGTGTCCTGTCTTCGCGCTGTAGTATTCTCGTGTGCTTTACTTAAGTACCAGACTATCTGCTGTTGCCATGTCACGTGGGGGGATGCAAGCCATGCCTTGGCAACCGGCACTGTCGCTAGCGAAAGTCTGTCTGGTACCTGGAGTGTCTCGTACGATACTGTATGCATTTATTAGCGTAACCATCCGAAATAGCGTGGAAAACGTTTTGCCAGATCACGACACTTCGCCAGAAAACACTGGAAATATCCTCCAAATTGCGAATTAGAATGAGTATAGTGCATGGACTTCAACTTTGAAAGTTGGACTGTTACCAAACTGCAATCATATATTCGCGAAAGAGGAGTTACGACAGCAGATTATCGGAAAACACAACTGATGGAATTGTGTAAGTGTGTGACTAGGTTGAAGTGCCAACTGATCCGAATTTAACGAAGGAAGATACACAGTGAACACTTGAAAGCTAACTGCATGCAACCGAATGAAATCCGTAACTGATGGGCCTTCCCAATGGGCAAAGAAAGCCAGGCTACAGGAAGAGACAACCCGCATACAGGAGTTACCCATCTATAAGGCCAAATAAATTTAATGTGCATTCTGCTACCAGTGTAGAGTACATATATGTGCATACAGGTGTACAAGTGTTCACAATACAAAAACAAGATTTATAGTGGTTATCTGTCAATGGATGGTACATTACATGGGGTCAGGATTAGGTGGGAGGAATTAGGTGCTGTAGATGTACTGCAAAGCATTTCATGAGGAAGAGTTATTGACTCACAAATATTTTCAGCAATCAGTCAATTCGAGAGTTACACAGTAGCGCGCCACCAAGAGTTTGCAACACATTGGCCAAACACAATGCGCAAAAATGGTCAACTGCACGGAGGGTCGACAAATTTACCACCTGCGGGTACCAGACAGACTTTAGGTAGCGACAGTGCCGGTTGCCAAGGCATGGCTTGCACCCCCTCCCACGTGACATGCCAACAGCAGATAGTCTGGTACTTAAGTAAAGCACACGAGAATACTATAGCGCGAAGACAGGACACCAGGATCTATGATAATTATACG